CCTATTAGGTTTAGTCTTAGTAGCCTAAATTACTAAAAATAGAGATTATTACTTAGATTATTACTATTTTTAGTAAAAAATATACTATTTATAGTAATTATTTCTATTTTTCTTAAAAATAGTCTATTTTTAGTAACTCTTAGTAGCCCTATTGGGTTTTAAACCCTATCCTCTTTTTTTTTAACCCGATTAAAAAATTCGTTGGGTTTTTAGCTATTTTAGAAACCTAATTAATTTAACCCTATTAGGTTAGGTTTCGGGTTTTTAACTAGGTTTAGCCTAATCCGTTACGTAGCCTACTCGATAGATAACTAATTCTTTATAGTTTTATTACTTTTAAATAAATAATATTATATATCGATTCTAATTAATTCTAGTTATTTATTATACGATTTAATTAACTTTCGCTTCGCTTTTCGCTATTCTTTCGAGCGTATTTCTATTACTTCTCGTTCGATCTTTAAATTCGATTCCTCTATACGATCTAAAATTTCCGAAGTAGCGAAAGTTAAAGTCGATATTAATAGCTATAAGGAAATAGTATTCTTCTATATTATTTCGAATCTAGTATACGAAATTATTCTTAGGCTATTCTAGATAAAGAAGAACGATATATATTTTAGCGTCGCGAATAATTCTTTCTTAATAGGCTATTCTAATCTAAAGGTCTATAATATACTACGAAAACTATATACGCCCTTAGACTATAGCTAGGTTTTCGTCGTAGTATTCGATCTATTAGCTTAGAAAAGTAAGAAGCGTACGAAAACTTAAGTATTCTCGGTAACGATAGCGAATATTAAAAAAGTACTTAGAGTAAAGACGCCTACTAATTCGCGTACGAAGCTTCCTTAATAGTATTACTATTTCCTAGACGTCTTTAGTCGTATAAAAGTAGAGAAGTTACTTTCTTTACGAGGAAAGGGAATCGACTACGTAATCGACTTCGAACTAAAAAACGGAAAGAAACCTTAAGTTTCGTAGAGTCCGCTATATAATATATCTCGAGACGAACTCTTAGTACTATAATATACGCTTACTAAACTTTTCGATAAGGAATTTATTAGAGTAAGTAACTCGTTAGCGGCGGCTCTAGTTTCTTCGTACGAAAGCTAGGAGGAAAATTACGATTCTATATTAACTATCGAGGGCTAAATAAGCTAATAAAGAAGGATTAATATCTATTACTACTAATCTACGAGACTCTACGAAATATCGAATAAGTAAAGTAGTATACGAAGCTCGATATTATCGCGGCCTTTTATAAAATTCGAATCGTAGAAGGAGACGAGTAGATAATAGTATTATAAGGGTTTAGCTAGGAATTTAGAGTAATTCGTCTAACTATTATATAACGAGGATTCTAAAGCTAAGGAGAGAAAAGAAAAGAGAAAATCTATCTACTATACGAATAAAGGAAATACTCCCTAGCCTCTTCTATAGTAGATTAGTA